GGCAACCTCCTGCCCATCACCTGCTCTGTGCTCTGCCCTCTCCTGGTACCCTGAACAGTGCTGTTAGCCAGCTTGTCTCGGTCCCATGAAAGTTCAGCTCTATGTGACAGATATCTTGGTTGGGATCACTGCAGAATCCCCAGTATCTGGCCCAATGTGATTTCTTGTTAAGTGGAGAATGGATGAGGAATTTGTTGCCCTCTGCCCTTTTCTTGGGGACTCTGGGTGGTGGGAGCCAGTGGTCAGGAAACAGCCTGCTATGGCAAATCTATGTTTCTGTGGATTATAGCAAATACAACATTGTTTCAGGTCATGTAATGCTGCTATTGGACAGGACCAAGAACCAAGATTCTGATCTTAGGGAAGTAGCTTCATTGAGAGGACTGAGAATGTGTATTTGGAGCATACATGGAAGCCAAAGCTGAGCATCTTATGGAGTATTCACCTGCCTGGAGTAGGGAGAGGTATTGGGAAGGTACCTCTCAGCCTATATAGCTGCTGTTGAACCTGTAGCTCCCTGAAATCCCACAATTAGCCCATCACAAACTCTTCAAAATTCAGAGATGGGGGAATCTTTCCAGATCTTTTTCCTTAGTCCTGGGGATTTAACTCATTGCTTTTGCAATGAGCTACATCCCCAGTCCCATTCCTTTTTTTTTTTTTTTTTTTTTTTTTTTTGTGGAGCCAGGTCTTGAACTCAGGCCCCTGCACTTGCCAGGGAAGTGCTTATTCAACTGAGCCATCTCCCCGTGCCCCCCCCCATTCCTTTTCAGTGTGCTTTTACACAGGGTCTTGCTAAATCACTAAATCAGGGCTTGATCTTGGAATCTTCTTGCCTCAGCGGCCCAGAGTGCTAGGATTACAGGCATGGGTCATCATACCTGGTTCCTTCCAGGTCTTTTAAAGCTTTGTTTGTCAGCCTTGGTGGAAACCAAGGGAAATAACTGATCTACCTCTGAGAGGTTGACAAGGGAACCGAGGTCCAGAAAAGAAACTTGCTCGGAAGGTCACACACTATTACAGGCTGGAAGAGGATGTAATAAATCAACATCAAGGGTTATGGTTCTTTGGACCCAGTCCTGTCATTGGATGACCTTAGGCTAGTCAGGTAGCCCTCCTCTGCTGTAAGAGGTGAGTAGTAATCCTATATATCCTCCAGGTCTACTAGGTCCCTGTGATTCAAATAGCACTGGGAAACCCCCTCAACATGTAGGAGGTGTTGTGGCAGGGGGACCTACAATGGAGAAACATCCCAACTTTGTAAAGGTTGTAGAGTGCCCCACTGCCTCCTTCTCCCCTTGCTGTTCTCTCTCCTCTTCCAGGCTTTGGTTGTTGCTCTTTCCATGCTGTCCCAGGCTTGAATCTTGTCTCACCATCTGCCCATGTCCTGGGTCCACCCAGCCAGTCACCAGAGCAACCTGCTCTGACATCAGGGGTGCTCTGGCAGCTGGCCTGCTTCCCTGCTTCGAAGCAGCTGGTGGCAGGATCAGGTTTCCAGGTAGATCCCCACCCCCAGCCTTCGCTCAAATGGGGTGGGAGGTGGGGGAGATTCAGAGAAATAGAGCGAACACTGGACTGCTGGGAACTGCATACAGCTGCTGCTTGGAGACCTGAAAAAGGGCCAGCTCATGCCCTAGATAAGGTGGCGGATGGCCTACTTGGGCTGGACCTAAAGGTCCCTTTTAGGTGCCTCTCCCAGGTTCTGGGTAGGGCTGGCTCTTGAAAGTAGGCCAGGCCTAGGTTATAATCAGTGCATCCCCCTGCATACCTTCATATGCCCTCCAAAGCAGACTATCGTAGACATTTATTGAGTACTTACAGTGTTCTTTCCACACATTCCATTCAGCCTCACAGCAGCCTGACACAGTAGGAATTAAGATACTCTGTCCAAAAAATATAAAAGATACTCTGTCCACCTATTTCACAGATAAGAAACTGGGATGAGAAGTCGTCAAAGCCAACAGCTAGAAAGGACAGTGCTGGAATCCCACCCGGGCTCTGTGCTACTCCAGGTGTCACAGGGATGGAGCCTGGGTGGGGAGAGCAGAGGTCTAGCAGCTGCATTGTGTTTCAGTGAGGATCCTGAGCGTTAGTTAGTCTGGAAAGCTGGCTCTCCAACTTGCTGGTTCCCCAGGGAACCAAGGGAACTGTCCCCCTTAGACGCCATTTCCCCATCTGTGTATATATATATATTTTAATGTTTGGGGGCTGGGGAGATAGCTCAGTTGAATAAGCGCTTACACCTGAGTTCAATCCCCAGCTCTGCAAAATAAATAAATAAATAAATTAAAGCATTTAGTACAGGGTCTAACTACACAGATTGGACTTGCAGTGATTCTCCTGTTTTCAGCCTCCCATGCCACCACGCCCAGTCTTGATCACTGTCTCAGTAAGTCCCAGTGGGCGGAGCCACATGGCATGCCTGGGATCAAACCCTGGTCCTGGCTGGTTCCAGTGTCTGCCTAAGCAGGGATTTAATCCGCTGAGCTATCTGGATGACCCACCATTTCCCCATCTGTAAATGGGAGCATTACGCCAGCTACCCGTGCATGGGCTATCTTGCAAACCCAGTGAAACTTTGTGCAACTGTTTAGAAAGAAAAGGATTGTATAGCTTGATGGATGCAGATTTAGCCCACAGGTTGATATGAAACCATGCCTCAGTTTCCCCATTTGGTTTTTTGTTTTGTTTTGTTTGTTGTAGTACAGGGGACTGAACCCAGGGCCTTTACACTTAAAATTTATTTGTAGGGGCCAGGGAGATGACACAGTAGAATAAGGGCTTGCTTGGCAAGAGCATGAGTTCAGTCCCCGGTTCTGCCAAAATAATAATAATAATAATAATGTATTTATTTTTGAGACAGGGTCTCCCTAATTTCTGAAGTTTCCCAGGCTGGGCTTGAACTCTTCTACCAAGATTACAGGCATATGCCAACACTCCTGGCATCCCTGTCTGTTAATGGAAGAGAATATCAGTGTCATTCTGGGTATAGCATCTGTAGTTCTAGCACTTGGGAGGCTGAGTTAAGAGGGTCTCTTGACTTTTGAGCCCAAGAGCCAGGCTGGGTAGAATAGCAAGACCAAGTAGAGATACACACACACACACACACACACACACACACACACAGAGAGACAGACACAGAGAATGAGTACTGGTAACTGCCTTCAACGAGTAGTAGCCTACAAAGAGTTCTACACATTACCGTTAGCTATTGCTCCACAGATCTCAGTTGTAATTCCAGAACACCATCATTGTCCAAAATATGTGTGGGCATAAAACATTCAGGACACTTTACATTTTTTAATATCAATTTCTTATGCAAATTGGAACATAATATGAGAACCTCTTTGCTTTCTCATCTGTAAAATGGGGGTGATAATACCTATGTCACATGGTTGTGCATATTAGGTAAAGTATGTAGTTCTAACGGCAAATATCCTAGTTATTGCTATCTTTGCTATTTTTTGCTTTATCTTTTTGGTGCTGGGAATTGGACCCAGGGCCTTGAAAACCTGTGCTCTACCACGGAGCTACAATCCTACTCTTTTTGCATATTATTTTTAACAATTCTCTCATATAATTGGTCCAAAGATTAACTGAAATATGCAGATAATGCACTTAGTACCGTGCTTTGACGCAAAGATGACTTCAATAAATGATACTGGGTTTTTCCGTCCTTTCTCGAACACAGGGACTACAAATAACATCATGCCCTGCACCTCCAGTCGGGGCCTCTACGCTCAACGCTACCGCAGAGCATACCGGGATTTGCAGTCCTGGAGAGGCAGGTCTCGCCTGTCTCTGCTCGGGGGAGGAGGTAGGAGAGCCGCCCTGTCGGCCTTTGAATTTTGCCGCGAAAAGCGCGCGTGGAGGGCCCCGGCCCCGCCCCCAAAAGGACGCGGCGCCGCGTCACCCTGGTAACCGCCTCTCAGCTGCCTCTGATTGGGCTGGGATGAGGGGGGCGGGCAGGGGGCCAGACGCAGCGGCGGTTGCCGGCGCTAGCGCCTGTCAGTCGGGCTGGAGCGGAGCAGCGGGTAGGACTGCTGGCCTGGCAGCTTCACAGAGAGGCTGCGCGCGTCGGCCGGAGAAAGCGGAGAGCTAGGCCCGCTGTCTGCGGGACACTGCGCGCGGTACCCGGGCGCGAGGCGAGGCTAGGAGCCCGCGCGCGCCAGGTGGCGCGAGGCTGCGGCCCCCGGAGCCCCCGCGCACCGCCCGGGGCCATGGACGCGTGAGACCCCAGCGCGCGCCTCCCCTGCTGCAGCTCCCAAGCTCGAACGCTGGGTGCACCGTCCCCCGGGCTATTCCTGCGTCCGTTCTGTGCCACCTGGACCTGCTGTTCTCGCGCCGAGGTCCCCGAGTCTGCATCCGAGCCTCCGCTGCCGCCGCCGCCACTGCTCGCCGGCTTCCCCTCCCCCCACACCCGGGGCTCCAAGAAGGAGGAGGAGGAGGAGGAGAAGGAGGGGCCGGTGCATTCTCGCCTCTGCTCTTTGCAACCTGCGGGGGCTGGTGCATGCCCGGCGAGAAGCCGGGGCCACTGCAGGTGCGTGCAATCCCCGGAGAGGAAAACCACCCCACCCCCGAGCAAACCCGAAGGCTGCAAGCCACGGGCGGGCGGGCGAGAGGAAGCAACAAAGACATTCTGCAGCTGGAGCTGGTGAGAGGGGCCGCGGCCGCCGGGCTCCCCGCACGGACGGAGAGGGCGCCCTGGGAGCGGCGCGGGCCGAGCTGCAGCGTTGAGCTGGGCCCCGAGGGGAAGTGCAGCGCCTCCCGCCGGACACGGCAAGCACAGACTTCGGCAAGGATGCACCGCCTGAGCACCAGCGCTGCCCGCTGCCCGGGCGAACGCGACCCCCACTGAGCGGAAAAACCTGAAAAACCTCCCGACTTTGGACGTCGAGGTCAGGTGCCCTCATCGCCCTCATCGATAGCGCTCGTTCTCACCCGGAGAGAGGCTTCGGTCTCCGAGAGAGGCTTCCTTAGGCAGTTTCTGCCTCCCTTGTATGGCTGCGACCCTAGGAGCAGAGCGTCGTGGCCGCTAAGACCTGGTGCTCTTCGACTGCTTGGCTTATCCGGTGAGTTGCGCGGGGCCAATTCCAGGCTGGAGCTGGGGGGCACCCCCTGGCGGCTGGGTAGGCTGGACTGGATATGAAGGGGCCCTCGATTGCTGAGGTCCCTGAGGCAGCAGTACCACTTGTCCGCCCCATTCCCTCCCACACACAACTTGCTTGGATTGACTGGCCGGCTGGAGTGGAGGCTGAGGTCCCTGGTGGGTGTTCCGCGGAGCTTTGGGCGGTGTAGAAGCCAGAGAAGAAAGGTCACCCCACCCGTAAATCTAACAAAGGTAGTGGCTCCGAAATCCGAAAATTTCTCAGGAACTCTCTCGTCTGAAGGAACTGGGGGTGGAGACCCTGGATAGGGTAGTGTTAAGGAGCTCCACAACGGCCTCTGCGATCTTAAGGGGCTTTGGTGCCAAAGAATGTGGAGTCTAGGTTATGCAGGTGGCAGCCTCTGGGACCAGACTGTAGCAAGATTCTCACCATTCCAGCCCGCGTTCCCACAAATAATTCTCAGGGACGACGTGTTCCTTGAGGCCGCGGTGTGATGTCATTAGCTTGCCTCTGACGTCACTGGGTTACCGTGACAACGCGACTTGCTTTGACCCAAGGCTAGAGGGGGCAGGGCCGGATGCCTTTGCCTAGTGCAAGGGTGAAGGCTGACTTCCCCACCCCCCACTGCAGTCCTCTGACCTAAATCCTAGGCTGCCACATGAGGTGGGGGAGGGTGGCAATGCCAGCTGTCCCTGCTGGTGCTCCTCCCCCCAAAGACAGGTGTTCAGAACTTTGCCCAGGGAGCTTGGCAGTGCCAGGGACTGAGGACTCCCAGAAAGCAACTTTCTCCTTTCAAATGGGATGCTAAAGAGAGGACTTCCCTGAACCCCACTATACCCAGCTGGTAGGCTGAAGTTCCTTGCCTCCCCAGACAGATGTGGGCCCTTAGCCTCCAGACAGGCAACTTCTGCTCAGGAAAATGCGAATGTTTCGCTCCCCCCCCCCAGGGAATGCAGAGGGAGCTGCAAGTCCAGGGGACCCCTCTCCCTTGCTGTAGAGTCCCAAAGTGAGGGACCTTGGCCCCACTGCATCTCCTACCTATCCCATTCTCCTTTTGGTATTTAAGATGATTTTGACAAGCACAGTGTAATTGATGCCCATTAAGTGAATGGGGGGACAAGTTAGGGCCAAGGCCTGAGCTCATTGCCTCAGTCAGAGGCTAGCTTGGATGGCAGAGGGCACTAGCCCTGTCTAACCCTTTACCTGGGAAGGTCCAGAGACTTCCCTGCCTGCGCCAGCCAGCATCTTGTTGCTGGCTCTGTGAACCTTCTTCAAAATCCCTTCCAGCAGTTACTGCCAGTGTCACATGTGGGTGAAGCTGCTGTCATCACATTTCTAGGAACAGGTTCGAAAACCTTGTCATTGCTCCAGTAGTGAGGGCCAGGGGATGGTTCTGAGAAGCTAGGCCACAGCCTCTCTGCAGTGGGCTTTTTTTGCTGTCTTCCTACCAGACCCTAGCTAGATTAACAGGTAGAGTAAATACCAGTGGAGCTGCTTTGTGGGGCTTGGCAGGGAGATGGTATTTCCAGCGGAAATGGTGTTGTTAAACGCAAGCTTCTGAGGACCGCGGAGCAACAGCAGACTGGGGGAGAACCTGGAGATGTGGACAGAAGGGCTGTTTGCCCTGCTTCTCAACCCTTCCCAGTTTAGAAACAAACTCAGAGTGCGCGCCAGATCCACAAACACAGGCGGTTGGAGGCCCTCCGTGGAGTATTTACACTTCCTCAGCCAAGGCGGAGGGAAGGGCTGTAAGAATTGGGCAATTCCTTCTGTTCCTTTCCCTCAGCTCCCTGGGCTTGGCAGTCAGTGCCAGACGCTGAACAGGGGGAGTGTCAGCTTACCCAGTATCTCCCTGTGTGCCAGGCATTTTGCAGCATCCTGGTGATGCCTTGGAGTGGCTCGTGTTCTGTCACCCATTTTATAGATAAGGAAATAGAGGCTTACTCAAGGAAGTGATTGAAGCTCAGCTGGGAAGCTACAGAGGTTTGGCACTGCACTGTATTGGCATCAGAATTTCTGAGGTCTTCCTATCCCTTCGGGGGACAGAGGAGCGGCACCTCAACTCACTGGGCAGTGGTCGCTGTACCAGCATGCCTTATCTGTGAAAAACCTAGGTTCTCGATCTCTTTGCTTACAGGGCGGCCTTCCCTGCCTTTAGCGCCCGGCAGGCACTCATCTGCTGGGTGAGGAGCAGTGCAGCCTGGCTGTTGGTGCCTGTCGCAGATGTGGGTGGGTACAAGGGTTGGGGAGGGGCCCTGTGGCAGGAAGGCCGACTGTGGATCTCAGAAGGGACAAATACAGATGCATCAGACAGGCCACTGGGTGAGAGGGGAGTTCCAGGAGGTAGAAGTGGCCAGAGGGGGCCAGGGATGCTTGGGGGCCTTGTGCCTACTGTGCTGAGTGGGGGAGAGGGGCCAGTGAGGGCCCCTTCACAGGGACAGTGACTGTGGACGCCCCTTCCCATCAGCAGGAGAGACCCCATTCTCTGGCAGTCTCAAGTCCGCATCCTTTTCTCTTGAGTAATTAATTACATGTAAGCACCTCTGTCCCATGGCCCCATGAGCCTCATAGTTACTCTGCCTTGGGCCGGGTTGCTTAGCCCTCTTGCTGAGACACAGGGAGAGTATGTACTCTGGTGGTGAGGCGAATAGATCCAGTCACAGGAGTGGGTTGGGCCCGAGTCTCATGCCCCAGCCTGTCATTTGCTGACTGACCTTAGGTGAGCACCTTTGCCTCTCTGAGCCGTTTCCTCTCTGTAACTAGGAGCTGCTGATAACACCCACTGCCCAGGGTTGTGAAGGAGGATTGAGAGAGAGCTTAGTGCAGGCTACCGTATACAGTAAGCACTTGATAAATGTGCAGTCTCAAGGCTGCGCTTGGCCTCGTGCTCTCCCAGTCCCTTGGAGCGGGAGGTGGAGGCCACAACCGGAGCAGACGACCCTACCCTGCCCACTGCCTCTGCCCCGTGACACCTACCCACGGGACCCCCACGTGGTAAGCACACGTGGCTCCCCTCTGAGTTCCTGGGGGGCTGGGGCCTGGCCAGGGGCCCCTCCCAACCTCCCTCCTGCCCCTGTCTTCCTTCTCTAGCCGGAGGAAGCGAGCTGCAGCTCATATTCATGAACCGTAATTCAATCAGGCGGTGATTCCTCTGGGCTGGGGCGGGGGTGAGAACGAGGAGGCGCGCACAAAAGGGCCGCTTTATTACCTCCCGCGGGCCGGGAATTGCTGCTCTCCCCCAGCAGCGGCCGAAGCTGCCTTTATTGTGTTAACCCATTTGCGTGTCAAGAGCTATTGTGCGCCTTCTCCGCCTGTGCGGTGCGGCCGCGGGAGGAGGGCTGCGCCGCTGCTGCCGGCCGGTCACCTCCGCGGGCGCCGCCCGCCGCCCTGATTGGTTGCTAAGTGATTTGCATCCAAGGTAATCACTTTTATCTCAGAAGGATGTCGACTATAATTATAAGCTACTGACATCTTTTGAAATCTGCCTAATGACTATTTTAGTCGGCCCGGGCTGGGGGTGGGGAGGGGGGTTGTGCGGGGCGGAGGAGGGGGAGGGGGGCTGGGAAGGGGGATGGATTCCTTCCACCTGGACGGCTGATTCCTCAGTTGAAACATCTGAGTGCCTACTGCGCACCACAGACAAAAGGCTGGGGGGCCGGTGCCCAGCTTGGCTTCCTGTGGGTGGAGTGAGTACCATTTCAGAGATGGAGAAATGGAGGCCACTTGCCCAGAAGACCCAGCCAGTGCATGGTGGCATCTGGGTCGCTCCAACCCCTAAGCCATGCCCTGGCCACTTAGGGAACAGACAGGAATGAGGACAGGAACCACTGGATGGCATCCGTCTGGAACCTTTCAGTCATAACCCAAAGACCCATAAGTGCTTTCCTGTCCCAGTTTTAGTAGGGAGGGAATGGGATTGGGGCACAGCCAGGGAATGACAGAAGAATGAGGTACGGGGGTGGCCTGGGGAGTGAGGAGCAGGGAGGGAAGGCCTGGGCTCCAATCCGAGGGCCCCTCCTGCTCCTGGGGTTCCACTGGGTCAGCCTGGGGGAAGGCCAGCCTGCTGCTGGCTGCTGTTGGGGTGGTGAAACTATAGGGAATAGGCTGCTGCCTAGCCTCCCTGGGGAGTAAGAAGTGACCCCCCACACATGTAACTTGAACTCTGGACCTACGGCCAGGTCTGGAGGGTAGGCCCTACCAGCGTGAAACTGCAGCTGGGCCTGGGGGGCTTCCTGAGGAGCCGGGCTCCGAAGACTCAGTGGACCTTCCATGCAGAGGAGAAATGGGGATGTTGCCGGTTGAGAACCCAGGGACATGACCAGGAAAGGCTGAGGAAGTCACCAGAGGGTCGAGGTAAAAGGAAGATAAACTGAAGGCTGTGGGGGCCTTGCGTGCTGAGCTAAGGACCAAAAGAAGAGTGAAGCCAGTGCAGGTGGAGGGGTGCAACCAGGGATGCAACCTGGGTGCAGTGGAGGTCAGCGGGGACTTGGGCCTCTGGAACCTGAGCTCCTGCCCACCACTGCTGTGTGTCTTCAGACAAGCCACTTTACCCCTCTGACCGCACTTGCCTTATTTGGTGAAAAGTCATAGCCTCCTCCTTCCTGGTAGGAAGGTGCTGTCTCTGGAGGACCAGCAGGAGGGAGGGGCGTGCTGAGCCTCTCAAAGCTGGCTGAGGTAGGCCCAGGCCAGTCTCCCCTGCTCCATAGCAAGCCGAGGTAGCAGCCGCAGCAGCTGTTTGGGGCCCTGGAAGCCCTGGCTATTGTGCAGAGGGCGGCAGGGGACAAAGGCCTGGGAGGTCAGAAGTGAGGCGTGGCTGGCTGTGAACAGGCTCCCGGGGGATGGGGACTTAATGACACAGAACTTAATGACTAGGAGTCTGTAGGGAGAGGAGCCTCCTTAGGAGGAGGAAGAGGAGGGAGGGAGGGAGGGAGGTTGGTCCCACTACCTGGTCTGCTCCAGGACAG